GGACGACAAGGATTCCAATAATGACTTTTAATGTAGACACAACAAGGCAGATTCAGGAAGGAGAGACACACACACACACACTCGGGGTAACATTCACAATAACTGACCAACTCGAATACAAGAGACAGGAACTGATATAGGGCAGATAACGAGGGGCAGACAGGTGAGCACAATGTGCCAACTGCTTTCAATTGAAAGTAGCTAAAACTGGTAACCAAATTTCACTAGATGACATCACAATGGCAAATTCACTGATCTATATAAAGATGAATGTAGATCAGTGGGCAAGATGAGAACTTAGATAAGTCTTGTCCAAGAAGTTGCTATATTTGTCCCTAAACTTTTGAAAAAAGTCTCAAAAGGGGCAGGGAAGTCAGTAAATCTAGCTACAAAGTAGCTAAATTGGCAACACTGAACTCAAATACAAGAGACAGGAACAGATATAGGGCAGATAACGAGGGGCAGACAGGTGAGCACAATGAGGTGATTAACTAATAACGAGAACAGGAACAACCAAATAAGGACACAGAGGGAGAAACCACAATCAGCAGTCCACAGGGGTGTGACAATATATATATATATTAAAACTAAATACTGAACTTAAACAGGGAAAATGTTGAAATGCAGGATTTAATTAACTTATATGCAAAAATAAATCATAATAAATGAAATTAATAATTCTACAATAAATACATTGTTATTGTTTTATTATTTTTTTTAAAGATTCACTTTGACTACATGAATGTTAGATGATTGCAAAGGTGAAAAAATATCCAATATTGACCAATACTGATACAATACTGATAGATGTAAATGTAAGGTCTCTGTCTTGTGAAACAGGCCCCCATAAGCTGTGGATTCTCCACGTGAATTATGAAACAGAAATATTACAGAAGGATCTAAAGATCTCCCCCCCTATCAGCCATCATGAGGTATCTATACCAATCACCACCAGCACATGACTTCCTGCCAGTCTTGTCGTCATCTACTCAGAGGAGTGATTAAAGACTAATCCAATCAGGAGACAACAAAGCTTTCTTTGTATCAGGACTGGAAGGTTCGTTCACAACATATAGAAACCACGATGTCTTGTGACCACCAATGAGTGCAACTATTATATCCAAACAGGAAAAGGACAGTAATTTAATCACGTCCTCAGGCCTGCAACACAGGATCATGCATGACTACCACATGACCCACTGAACATCTGCTTTCTGCCCTGACGGAAAGCCTTACAAACTCCTTTTGTCACAGACAAAGAAACAAAACGTACATAGACAATTCATAAGACAATCATTGGAAATCATTGAAAAGTATCGGGACAATATATTCACAAATAATATGTTGTATGTCTTATATATATATTTTTGATGTGTTATTTTAACGGGGCAAATTTTAATAGTGTTTTAAATGTGGTAATATGTGAAGTTTAATCTTGAACGGATGGGCACGACAAATGCCGAATGTTGAAATTAAGTAAACTTTAATAGTGGGTACAAGACTCGCATTAGGAAACTTTATAAAAGTATCCACCAAGTCTTCACTAAGATTTTTCTCATGTGATGAATTGAAGCCCCTTTGTTAATGTATGCACGCTCCGCCTTGCAAGACGTCGATTGGAAGATAACACTGTGGGACGGACTGACGCCGCGGATCAAAAACCCAAGACAGACTCCAGGGCTTGCATGCTCTTCGCTTTTCGCCGTGTTAAGAGCACTCCAACTCATGCTCACACGCTTACCATCAAAGCGACCGGTCATATCAAACTCAAACACTTCAGTTGAAACTTCGCAATCTTCAAAGAACTTAAAGTCTTGCAAACAGAGACTTTCAGCAGAACTGCTCAAGCTTCTTCCGTCATCAAGAGACCAAAAAACATTGCCAAGATTACGTTACCTAGCTCGTAGCTTACTTATCAGAGAACGTATTACCCGTGGCCAGGGAAATACAAAGACTCAAGTTGTTAAAATATACAGAGATCAACGGCTCGCTGGACGACCGTTGATTTAAAGTGTAAACTATTAGATTTGAATTCAGTTTTAATCAGGTGGACCTCGAATTTTCAGATCCGAGTCCTTTCAAAACCTGAGCTAGAAATAAAATTAATGATTAATTCCCTTACAGAATTAACGACTTAAATTACAGTTAAGTCCCTACATTATATGGTGGAGAAAGAAAGCTGTCAAAGATTTGACTGAAAATTATTGACACCAAGAGAATATTATGAATGTTGTCTATTTTCATCCGGAAAAATAGATTAAAAGACAGAAAAACTGAGTTTGTTGTGCTACTGGATATGTTATTATAGCACGGCAGAGCGTGTTGAATGAAGTGAAACTCGAGTTTGTTGTTTAAAATTGAACTGCAGTAAAACATTTAATTTTGTCTATAGAAACAAAGCTAAGCCGCTCTAAAGCGCATGAACAGAGAAGCAAGCGTGTTCCTTGTTTTCCTCTGAAAGGCCTTAATAGTTAGATTTGTTGGTGCGTTTTCCACTTCCAAATTAGTCTATGATAAATAAATCTCCCGGCTTCAGACCATTAACCTAGCTAGTTAATGCTCTTGCCGTTTAATTCACTAAAAACTAGTGAACTTGAAACGCGGTACTCAGAGAGAGTGTCCGATCGCTATTATTACTTTTGGGAGAATTGTGAAATCTTGATCAAGTGATCGTGGTTAAATCCACACGTGTTTTTGTCTGTATAAATATGTGCTGATATCATTGACAGTTATTGTATTAATTGCAGTGAATCTGTAGATTAATTCACCTCACTCGGAACGAGTTGAGATTGGTCAGCACTATAAAGATTCATGTAATCGGTGCAACTTTAATCAGTGTTTATTACCCTTTTTAGGAAATAAGGTTATTAAAATGTGTGTAATATGTGGTTTAATCTTGAATGAATGGGCACGACAAATGCAGAATGTTGAAATGAAGTAAACTTTAATAGTGGGTACAAGACTCGCATTAGGAAACTTTATAAAAGTATCCACCAAGTCTTCGCAAAGATTTTTCTCATGTGATGAATTGAAGCCCCTTTGTTAATGTATGCACGCTCCGCCTTGCAAAGACGTCGATTGGAAGATAACGCCGTGGGACGGACTGACGCCGCGGATCAAAAACCCAAGACAGACTCCAGGGCTTGCTTGCTCTTCGCTTTTCGCCGTGTTAAGAGCACTCCACCTTATGCTCACACGCTTACCATCAAAGCGACCGGTCATATAAAACTCAAACACTTCAGTTCAAACTTCGCAATCTTCAAAGAACTTAAAGTCTTGCAAACAGAGAATTCAAGTTGTTAAAATATACAGAGATCACCGGCTCGCTGGACGACCGTTGATTTAAAGTGTAAACTATTAGATTTGAATTCAGTTTTAATCAGGTGGACCTCGAATTTTCAGATCCGAGTCCTTTCAAAACCTGAGCTAGAAATAAAATTAATGATTAATTCCCTTATAGAATTAACGACTTAAATTACAGTTAAGTCCCTACATAAATAACAGTAATATCTGACAATAACTGATATATTACTGATATGTTGTGTATCCTTAAAGTCAAGTGATGTCTTTGTGACATGATCTGTGGGTGGGCGGCATAGTGTATATGGAGACTGAATTTTCATGTTAGGCAAACTGAAAAGAAAATGTTACTTTGCCTGCTATACATTATTTATGGTGACATAGTATTATAGGTATACTATATATTCAGTTTTCTGTGGGAGAGTGGAGAGAAAAAATAAAAGGTGAGAGTAGGAAGAGAGTGGAAGCAACAGAATAAAATAAAGCCTGTCACCTCATCATATGCAGAGTTCACGAAGACCCACTTCTGCATCTTCTCATAAAGATATTTCCTCTCTCCCTGTTCTGTCATCATTAAAACTCCATCCTACTGAAGGACTGGAGAGGTGATGATGTGTACGTGTGGCTTCACACCTTCCTTTGGGTGTGTGGATTCACTAGCCACTGCGACATCACTTCCTAGTTTGCGTAAATACACTTGTCTTTGTGTGACTTTGCCTGCCTCTATCTGAGCGTGTACGTGTCCTTGCCTTTCCTCCGTGTGTCCTGTTTGATTTATCCTCGGTGGAGGGGCTTTGATGACTCCCTTCTCATCTATTTGGTTGAAAAATAAGAGAAATTGCACCATTGCTCTCAATACTTGAGTAAAAGAGAGTGAAAAATGGGACATGGGGGGATTGCACACACACACACACACACACACACACACACACACACACTGTTCAGGGCCAGGCATGTGTACTTTGCTGTTGTGAAAAATGGGGCATGGGGGGATTGCACACACACACACACACACACACACACACACACACACACACTGTTCAGGGCCAGGCATGTGTACTTTGCTGTTGTTGAAACTCATTTACTAATGTATGTTACATCCTTTATGCATCAGTGGAATGAGTTTTTATATCCACAGCCTTGTTAAACTTCATATGACGAGATGAAATGAGTTGCGTCTGATTCCAGACTCCTGAGTATAGAAATTTAGGCTGGATATAGAAAGTGGTAATTAGTCTGAAGACCTCCTCTAACTTGCCAAGAATTAGTAAGCGTCAATAATGGTGGTCCTACCTCACATTGTGCTCTAGAAATATTAACCAAAGGTTGACAGCTGGATCCCTCATATCCTTCTGATGAAAAGAAATTTGATGTAGAAATAGATTTCACTCAGAAATTGCTCATAAGTTCACAATTCATTTCAAAGAAGCAGCAAACACATTGAATTAAACATGACATTTTTTAAATAGTAAATATTTTAAATCATGGTCAGTAGCCAATCATAGTAATTCTGGTTGCATATGCAGATACTGACTGATTTTTTTGTTTTTGTTTCTCCTCAGTGAATGTGGTTTGTCATCTCCACTGGTTGTCTGGACAAGCAATCATCTCCTCTTTGTCAGGTAAGCGAGCAAACGCTCTCCTCAAGTGAGTTGTGGTCTCTCCATCTCTGTGCAGTAGAGTGTAACTCTTTCCTCCTAAACACTGTCCGTCAAACTCCTGAAATGTTTACAAACAGGAACCATCAGACAGACACTCACACACTTAGAGTATTGCTAACCACACAGATACTCTCCTGTCTAGGACGGTCTCTAATGGCTTGTAAGGCAGCTGTGGGGCATCTGAGGTCTGCTTTTCTTGCTCATCGATGACCCTTGTTGTGTCTTCACGCTGTTGCCTGGATACTGGGGCCATAGAGGTGACCGACAGGGAAATGAAATGGCCAGTGCTAATGGCTATCAGGAGACAAGCTTCAAAGCCTCCAGGGCCCAATCTGACAAGTGTAAACAACTTTCTCATAATCATGAAAAACGTCTCCTCCCCACAAAACCTTCCTTTACTTCTAAGTGACTGAACTAGGCACAAGAAGGCTTTAAATCTGAGTCTATAGCAGAATCCAGACCACGATAACCGTGGCTTTGAACAGGAGTGGTTGTATTGGTTGAAAAGGACTAGGTGTATTTAGTATGTACTGAAGTACTCCACTCCTCTATTGCGCATTTACTGCAGTTTTAAGAGGTTGTTCCTCTGTATGTAGGTACATAATTCAGAGCGGTACTCCATACTGTACATACCTCCCCTCCATATGGTGCACCAACCCACTTAATGCTCTCTGCCAAACAATGGTGGGGGGTGGATTAACAGCACCGTACTGTACATTAGACTATAAGTTAATCGAGTCGGTAGATTTACAAATTAAATGCAATCAAATGCTCCAGCTACTTATTTATTGTGTAGTGTGATGGTGCTTTCCTTGTTAAAGGTCCCCTGAAATGCTTAGAAACACGCAGTGTTACTCTATGTGTTGACGTCATTTTAACTGAAACAGGAAGACAGGGCGGGACATATCAAGCAGCCCCTTTTTAAAATAGCCAATAGCGTTCGTTTATATCACAGCTTGGGCTAGAGCCGTTGAGCTCCGTAAAGCCGCATTTGACAGGGTATGCCAGCCACAATCTCATCCATATTGCTATAAAATATAGCATACTGTGTAGAATTCAAATAGCTCCGATACATTTTGTGGTCTGCGCCGACTCGCGCATGTGATCCGCTCCGTGCTATCGTGTCTCTGGACCGGAGCAGAGTGTGTGTGCGG